TATATATATATATATATATATATATATATATATATATATATATATATATACACACTCCCTCTGTCCACCATAGATCTTCCCAATAGCCCTTTTTCTTTGTCCATAATAGATCTTCTCATTTCATTTTTTAACAAGTAAAATACCACAACTACCCCCACTTACTTTATTTATTACACCTCACCCATCTCATTTAATACACTCCACCCATTTTTCATTAAGGGTATTATGGTAAACTTTCACCTTTTTTCAACTCTCCTTAAAAACCACCAAAAGTCAAAATGAGAACATCTTAGGCGGACGGAGGGAGTATAATTTAAGCATATAATTCTCAAAAACTTTGACTTCAAAGTCAACTACACTTGCATCTCGTAATAATATACATGAGTGGAGGGATGAGTTAAGTTAGGAAGGATAAGAACTATAAATTTTGCAAACGAATTGAAGTATCTTAAAGGAGACATAGAGTCGGGTAATAAAATACTCCCTCCGTCTACAAATAAACTTCTCGTTCACTATTCACAGGGTCAAACTTTATTTACTTTGTTGTCCTATTTTTGTCACTCATTTGATAAAATAATACTTCCTCCGTCCCAAAAAGATTTACACCTTTCAAAAAAAATTGCGTCCCACAATCTCCTACTCATTTCTATTAAAAACAACTTTTACCCTTACTTTTTCAAACCCTACCTATCACATCATACCTTTTTCCTAATAATCTACACATCACATCCTACTTTTACCCATCACATCAAGGGTATTTTTGGAAAATCAACACAAAATTATCCCTCCCTTAGCTTCAACTTTAGTCAAAATGGGTAACACTTTATGGGACGGAGGGAGTATAGTCATGTCACATCTAGTTTTGTAAATCTTTTGATATAGTTTTAAAATATGTAATTTTTATTTTAAAAATTAACATCATTTTTCATATAAAATAATTTGAAAATAAATTTAGTTAAACATCGTAACGCCCAACGAAAGTTTATTTGTGGACGGAGGGACTATGAAATATCCAAGGAGGTGAAGAGGCGTGCGTGCCTGCTTGTGTCTCCCAGATATGTACTCTAATTTCCACTATTCCCCAAGTGTTCGTCCTGCTACCTACCCTACGTACCCGGTACACCGTACACATTATGCACATACGCATATTTGGTCTTGGTCTACAATTCTACATGCATATAAACCCAATCCCCCTACAAATAAAATTAAACAAATCCTTTAACGTTATATTAATTGTTAGAGGAATTTACCTAAATAGCACTAAAACATAATGACTTTCCCTAAATAGTACTACATATGTTTTTTTATCAATGTAGCACTTTTAGTCATTATACATTAGTCATTATTCAAATAAATGTTTGCCATCACTGGTCATTATGGATATTATAGAGTGCTATTTAAGGAAGAAAACAATCTAAATGCTATTTACAGAAATGACTTAAGTTTTAGTGCTATTTAGTGCAAATATTTCTAATTGTTACTCTTGTGTTACGTTGGAGACAAACAAATGGACGACGTAAATGAACAAAGCAATCCACTGCTTACAGATACAACAACAACAACAAGAAGAAGAAGCATGTTGGAGAGTGGTGATAATAATAATAATGAAAAGGGTGCATTATTATTATTATCATTATCATTATTGGGGCGTAAGAAGGCTTTCATGGGAGAGTTGATAGAAGTGAACCGCATAGCCATTCCCATGATCCTCGTCACTGTTTCCCAGTTTCTGTTGCGCACCTCTCCCATCCTCATGCTGGGCCACCTCGGGCAGCTCCACCTCTCCGCCGCCTCCATCGCCACCTCTCTCTCCAACGTCACCGGTTACAGTGTTCTTGTAAGCTGCCTTACGCTTTTGATTGAATTGATTCGTTCATACGTCGTCAGTAGTCTAGCAATGCTAGTTATAAGCGTAACGTTGTTGGTTTCGTATTGCATGAAACAGTTTGGAATGTCTGGCGCGCTGGAGACGCTGTGCGGGCAGGCATACGGGGCAGGACAACATCGAAAACTCGCGACGTTCACTTATGGTGCGATTCTCGGCATGTTCCTCGTCTGCATTCCGGTGGCCATACTATGGCTCCTCACGGAGAAGTTGCTGTTGTCACTTGGCCAGGATCCATCCATCGCGGCGGAAGCCGGAAAGTATGCCATCTGGCTCATCCCCACTCTCTTTCCCTACTCCGTACTCCAGTCTCTGGTCCAGTACCTGCTCGCGCAGGGCTTGATCGTTCCCATGGTGTGGAGCGCCGTGGCGTCTCTGTGCCTGCAAGTGCCCATTTGTTGGGTTTTCGTGTTCAAGATGGAGTTGGGGAGTGCAGGAGCTGCATTGTCTATTGGCATTTCTTATTGGGCAAATGTGGTTTTCATTTTATTTTACGTCGCCAAGTCTTCGTCGTCGTTGTCAACGTGTAAAATACCATCATCTTATTGTCATGCCGCCAGTTTCACTAGGGATGCTTTCCTTACCATGGGGGACTCCTTTAAGCTTGCTGTCCCCTCTGCAGTAATGGTCTGGTAATTAAACTCATCCGATCCTAAGTAGTCTTTCTTTGTCATATCATGATGTATGTCATTTGTTAAAAAAACCGGAATGCATGTTTTCAAACAATCGGTTCAACCAAAAGTTTAAGCGTATGGTTCTATGTCCATGAATTTTAAGAGAATTAATGAAATTATTCTTCTTATTTTTTTGCCAGTTTGGAATGGTGGTCATTCGAGTTGATCTTACTATTATCTGGACTCTTGCCAAATCCAAAACTAGAGACATCTGTATTATCTATATGGTATGCTCCTATTTATATTTTCTTTTGAATAATTTACTTAAATAGGACTAAAACATAATGACTTTCCCAATATATGACCATATGTTTTTATTTCCTAATGTAGGACTTTTGGTCATTATGAGTTAGTCATTATTTAAGTAAATGTCCATCATTACTGGACACTATTCCTCCCACTAAGATATTAATAAGTCTTATTTAGGGAATAAAAACATTTAAGTCCTAGATTAGGAAAGTCATTATGTTTTAATCTTATTTGGTGCAAATTTCACTTTTCTTATTTCATTCTTACCATAATTCAATATTCTACATTCTTCAATTAAAATTCTCCATATATCCTGTATATATATACCGATGTAACATTTATTATTCAATAAGATCAATTATTATCTAATTACATCAATTACGTCGCAATTTAAAGGAACCTAACAACTCACGTACGTGCATGCATGCAGCTTTACGACCACTTCTGTCCACTGCAACATTCCTTATTCTTTCGGTGCCGCTGCAAGGTTTCTTAATTCTCCATTTATATATCTATCATCGTCTATCTCCAGATTATTTTTACTCCGTAACGTTTATAGCTATAACAAAAAACTTACTCTAACGGAATTTCTCTATATGATTAGTGTTAGGGTTTCAAATGCCGTCGGAGGACGTAAAGCAGAGGCAGCGAGAGTTGCGGTCTATGCTGTTATAGTCTCTCGAAAAAACCCTAAAATTCGAAATTGACGGCGGGCACCAACGCCAATGCGGTCGTGGCATCCGAGCGACCTCCAAGGACTCCTAAATTGCAAGATTTGATGAAGATTTGCAAAACCCCAATTTTGGATCCAATTTCGAATTTTAGGGTTTTTTCGAGTAGAAAAATTCAGATTCGAGAAGTTACAGGCCAAATTAGAGAAAATTGTTTGGATATTATTGATCCTCGTCTCAAGACGAAGAGAATGACATTGGTCCCACCGAAATCGGAAAAAGTTCATTTTCCGGCGACTTTGACCGGCGGGCGGCGGCGGCGGGGCGTGGAAGAAAAGAAAAGAAGAAATGGGGTCAAATTGAAAATTTTAAAATATATAAAATTCGAATTTGGCCCTAATGGCCGGAAGTTAACCTAGAAACGGGCTAATGGCTCATTAGTGAAAGGATTGTGTAAGTTCAGGGATTTTTGTGAAAGGATTTGAAGTTCAGGTACCACTTCGAAATTCCAGCTAAAGTTCAGGTACCATTTATGAAATTTACTCACTAAGTGTAACATCTTGATGAGCTTGTGCTTTTATAAAATGTGATGATGAGATTAAAATCTTGGCATTGGTTAGGACCATCTTAAATTCTTAATGATTCTGATGGGGAAGAAAAAGTCAATGATATTTGAAAAAAATAGTGTAAACAACTAAACAAGCCATATTTGTTTCTTTAATGAAACATTTTGCTTAGGGAGGGAGGGAGAACATCAAGAACCCGGAGTAATTAATTAACAAGTACGTACGTAGGGAGCAGCTAGGCAGGTAGCAGTGGTAGTACTCCTAACCGGCCCCTCCATTTCCTCTATCAATCAACAAAATGAATAAACAAAGATGCATCGTAATTCATGTCAAAACCTCTTCCCTTCTCAAGTACGGAGTTAAGTGTATGACTTAATAATAATACGGAGTATATTTTAAAAAAGGAAAAATTACCCAAAATAATCCCAACTTTACATGGTTTTTTAAAAATAATCTCACATTTCACTGTGATGCAAAAATAATCCCAACTTTCATTTTGTTGCCTAAAATGAGCATTTCCGTTAACCCTCCGTTAGAAACTTAATGGTGACCCAAAACTGGCAAATTTCAATAAAGTTGGGATTATTATGCATCACAATGAAAGGTGGGATTATTTTTGAAAGACCGGGTAAAGTTGAAATTATTTAGGGTAATTTTTCCTTAAAAAAATTACTGTCTGTCTCCTTTTGATCTTTTAAACTGGCAAACTTTGATAAGAAATTAAATCAAATTGATACTCCTTCCGTCTCTAAAAAAATCATGTTTCAAATTTTGGGTATCTCTAAATACATTTCTATCTATATGTATTATATCTAAGATTCATTGTATTTCTCTTTTATTACATACATGTGTAGTTGTTAGAATATAAATAAGTTTTCCTGGGCCAAAAAATTGTTTTTAGAGTATTTTAGATATTTTAGATAAAATAGAATTATTTTATGAGATGTGTAAAAAATGAAACATTAACTTTTCTTTGGGGACGGAGGGAGTATTAGGTGTGAATACACAAATAAATTCGATCACTTGATTCTTCTTGTAAAATTGTTTCCAAAATAGTGTTCTATCCAATAATATACTCCCTTCCTTAAAAACTTTCCTCTTTCATTTTTTTCCAATTCCCTAAAATACTTCTACTTTCTATTAAAAACCCACTTTTACCCCTACTTTTTCATACCCTACTTATCACATCATATTTTTTCACTAATAACCAAACTATCACATCTTACTTTTACTCATCACATCAAAGGCAAAATTAGAAAGTCAACCAAAATCATACTTTCCTTATTTTTGCCCAAAGTCAAAACATGAACCTTTTAAGGGAAAGGAGGGAGTATATCATCATAAAGTTTTTATTTAACTATAGGATAAATACTTGATTCTGAACTTAAAAGTTAAAACCTGACAATGGTTGTAGCTAGGAGTATAAAATTATATATACTGATCCCTAATAATATTGTACGGGTTGAATCGTCCTTTGGCCTCTTAATAAAAGCTTGTTAGGACGTTTATTGAAAGGCTAGGCGAGGGGGAAGCAAAGCACACATGAAATGAAATCAAAGTGAATTGGTATGATGATGATGAAGAAAAGTAATACTACTACCATTATTATTCTTTGTATAGACGGAGGTGGTGGAATTAGAGCAATCATCCCTGCCCTCATCCTCTCCTATCTTGAGTCCCAGCTTCAGGTAGAGCTCATCACCCGCGGCGGCCTAGCTCGATCATATTATCTTTATAATATACTCTCTCCATCCTAAAAAAAAAAAATGTTCTTGTGTTGAACTTGTTTTTTTGAAGAGTTTTGTTTAATTTGTAGATGGTTAATTATAATAATATGGTGGAAGTTAATATATGTGAAATTTGCATTCAATAGGACTAAAACATAGGACTTAAACTTTTTTATTTGCTAATAAATAAGACTTAATAATGACTTGTGAGAATAATAATGTCCAAGTGATACTGGATATTTAGTTGAATAATGACTAATAGATAACGATAAGTGGTCCTAGAAAATAAAAACATATGGTCCTATACATATTGTATGGATGTCTGTAATATCAATACATGCAATGCAGGAGTTGGACGGGGAGGAGGCGCGGATAGCGGAGTACATGGACGTGATAGGAGGAACCGGCACAGGTGGCCTCATCACCGCCATGCTCACTGCCCCTAATAACAACAACCAACGCCTCCACCGCCGCCGCCGCCCTCTCTTTGCCGCTAAGGACATCCCTCCTTTCTTCCTCCGCCATTTCCCCCTATTTTTCCCTCACATCAAGTACTACGTAATATATTGTATTACCTTACTTTATTGTGAAATTTGCACTGAATACGACTAGAACATAAGTCATTTTCTAATGTAGGAGTTAAACTTTTTTATTCCTTACATGGGACTTAATAATAACTAGTAAAAAGAATAATGTCCAAGTGATAATGGACATTTAGTTGAATAATGACTAATAGATAATGACCAATGGTCCTACATTAGAATAGTCATTATGTTTTAGTCATATTTATGTAAATTAGCCTACTTTATTTTCCCATTCATATATATCCATCTCGATATTACTAGCTAATAAATTGATTGGACCTTATTTTTCAAATAGTTAACGTTTTTCTTTTGTTCAATATATAATTGTATTATAAGAGGGCCATTTGGGGAGGTAATAAACCAGATGAAAGCATCGACGGGGCCTAAATATGATGGAAAATACATTTCCAAACTTGTCAAGGACTTATTTGGAGGCACCAGGTTGCATCAAACCTTGACCAATGTCGTTATTCCTACTTTTGACATAAAGACCCTTCAACCACTCATCTTCAACTCATTTGAGGTACCAACATTACTTCATTAAATTATATTTCAAAGTATATTTTAAAATAAATTCAATTCTACTACATAAATTATAACTAAATATTTTTTCATAATTCACGATCAAAGGGTGTCACAGTTTGACAAAAAGAAATTAAACTATGGTAATCTTTAATTTATGAATGAAAAGAGTTTTTTGAAGCTTTGAAGAAGTACCGTAGAAGCCCCAAGTCATCATATGACATTAGTGACCAATTCGTGGCGTTCAAAAGTTGCCTCTTCATTTGATGTTTTAAAAATGCATCACTTTTACCACTAACTCCATCATATATATACGAAAATTGAGCTGTTTTTTTAATAATTCTGGCTGTCTCTTAGACAATAAAAGATACGATCTTGGATGCAAAGCTATCAGACATATGCATGGGTACCACTGCCACACCAACCCTTCTGCCACCCCACTACTTCAACAACAAAGACTACAAAGGAACCCAAAGAGAATTCAACCTCGTCGACGGATCTCTTGTTGCTAATAACCCCGTACGTATGCATCCATGCAATATATACAAAACATGAGATATCATAATAACCCATTAGTCTTATTAATAATGTCTAATTATTATGTGCTACCTAGACTCTAGTAGCTATCAATGAAGTGGCTAAGCAAGTGCTGAAGGGACACCCAGCCTTCGATCACCAGAGCAAACCCTTGGAACCATCGGGGCGGCGATACATCGTCATATCGATCGGGGCAGGCTCTTGCAAGAAAGAACACAAGTACAACGCCAGAAAGGCAGGAAAGTGGGGACTGTTTGATTGGCTGTTCAATGGGAACTCCATTCCATTAATGGAAGCTTTTCATCAAGCTAGCACAGACATGGTTGATGTCCAGACCTCTGTTCTCTTGTCAGCTCTTCACTCAGACGACAACTGCTACCTCCGAATCCAAGTGTGTTACGTTGTTTTTGTTGTAGTGTATAAGATTGTTTTGTTTTTTTAACTTCAGACTTTTTCTTTTAAGCTTATATTTTTTGGGTTTGCGTGAATGTGTGAGGGTGCAGGATGAGACGTTGTGTGGGGCTTTATCATCAGTGGATATGGCGACTAAGGAGAATATGGAGAGGCTTGTGAGAGTTGGGGAGAATCTATTGAGAAAACCAGTTTGCAAACTTGATAGAGTTACTGGAGAATATAAGCCCGTCCATAATGGAGGAACCAATATGGAAGCACTTAAAAAGTACGTACATCGTTGTTCCACAAACACACACACACACACACACACACAAAATAGTAGGGATATATGAGTTTGATATATACTCACTAAAATTTTTAAATAGAATGACTAGTACTTTCTTTGTCTCATAAAAATGTTTCTCTTTTGACTTTTAAAAAAATGTAAGGAAGCGATATTTTTGTGTTGACTTTCCAAAAATATCTTTGATGTGATAGTTAAAAATAAGATGTGATGGGCAGATTATTAATAAGAACGTATGATGTGATAGATAAAATTGCAATATAATCCTTCAAAAAAATATCATTGCAATCAGGGGCGGGCCTATATATGGGAGGTCCAGGGGTGTCAACCGACACCACTGAATTTTTTAAAAAACAGTATTATGTATTGACAACAATTTTTTATATAATTATTGTGTTATTTTGATTTATTTGAATATTTGAGGAAAACTTATTACTCCGTATATTTTGTTGTGTCTTATTGTGTTTTAAAAAATTAGTTATCTACCATTGTAATAAATATTAACCTCAATATTTTTTAATGCTATCATTTTTTATCATTTTTATAACTAATAATAATGTCATTTAATTGTGTTATTTTAATTATTTAAACGTTAATGATAAAATTTATTACTTTGATTTTTTTATTATTTCTTATTGTGATTTTAAAAGAAATTTGGTGACGCTGTCTCCGAATTCTTGTCACATGCACACAATATTCATCTGAGAAGTTTTGGCCCAATTACTCTTGGCACCGCTCATTGAGAGCCTGAGTCCACCACTGATTGCAATGTACTTTCTTTTTTTTTCGTTCTTGACAAAAAAAATTATTTTTGAATTAAATAACTAGTACTCCTTCCGTCCCAAAAAGTTTGTAACGTTTAGAAAAAATTGCGTCCCGTAAAATCCGTTACATTTCTATTAAAAAACCACTTTTACCCCTTACTTTTTCATACCCTACCTATCACATCATACCTTTTTCCTAATAATCTACCCATTACATCCTACTTTTACTCATCACATCAAGGGTATTTTTGGAAAGTCAATAACAAAATATCTCTCCTTTAATTTCCCAAAAAGTCAAACCGTCTCATTCTTTTTGGGACGGAGGGAGTATAACCAAAGAAGATCATTACAATATACTATATATATATATATATATATATATATATATATATATATATATATATATATATATATATATATATTGGTTCTGGTGAGAATGCGATCTTAGGAGAGAAATGAGAATGAATCTGGTGCTTTAGATTGTGCGATCTAAGGGTCAGGATTGCATCAAAATTAGATGCAACAAAATGGTTTGAAAATGCATCACGACGAAATGCATCATAATCTTTTGAAAATGCACTATCTCAAAACCTGAGCGCAAGATGCAATCTGAGCCGCACGATGCATCAGATCTAACGGCTAGATTTCATTCTCATTTCTCTTCACAAGGTGCATTCTCATAGGAACCAGCCCCTAAGATTCATTCTCACAATCTAAAGCACCAGATTCATTCTCATTTCTCTCCTAAGATTGCATTCTCACCAGAACCAAAATATATATATATATATATATATATATATATATATATATATATATATATATATATATATATATATATATATATATATATATATATATATATATATATTATTGACAGGTTCGCAAAGATGTTATCAGATGAAAGGAAATTGCGGCAATCACAAATGGCTCTCCCTTTGAGTGATTACATTCATAGCTAGCTGATGAGTACGTATTTATGACTCTTATTTTAGACTTCCCTATTTGTTTGAATTGAATATATGTACCCTCCTCACACCATAGCATAGTGTCTCTTAAAGTTCTTTCTCTATTGACCTTTTGAGAATTTATGAAAGAGAATTTGCGATCATTTTTTTATCTTTACTACGGAGTATTTTTTAATCACATAAAATAAAAGATCCGTTAGAATATAAAAAATATTTCCTTGGCCACAATCACAAGCTTGAGCTTTTGGTTGAAATGATTTATTGACATGGAATCAGAGCCTTATCGACTAAAAGGTCACGGGTTCGAAACTTAACATCACCCAAATTAAAAAATTTAAGGATTCACATGCAAGACTCGAAAAAGACTACGCCTGCAAGTGAGGGGGCGTAGTAAAAAACATTATTTTCTTGGCCACAGCCACAAGCTTGACCTTTTGGTTGAATTGGTTCATTGACAAGATCCTTTCTCACTCTTAGTATATTTGTCTATTTTAATTTTTTTATCTCGTTGAAAATGTTCAAAATTTAATTTCAATATACTAAAACGAATTGCAAATCGCGAGTAACCGAAAGTCAAAATTGAAGAATTTGAACTGAACAAATATATTCAGGCAAAATAGTACTTAAAGAATGATCCTGAAAACATGACATCGTACTCAACTTTAGAAAAACTAAAAGAGAGATCAGACAAGTTGGAGAAGAAAAGGAACAGGTAGACATATTGAAGAGGTTATTGACGAAAGTAAGGTAAGAAGCCCAAAAGGGCAGTTGTAAAACTAAAAGAAAAAAAAGTTTTTGGGCCTATAATTTTGGATCCAACAAGAATACGACCCGTCCCTTTCCAACCCCGTCTGCACCCGCACTCCCATTATACGGAATCCAATGCCTCTCAGTGGGCCCATACGGACCCAAAAATTAAACAGAATATTTCCTCTTTTCTTTTTTGAAAAATGTTAAGGATACACCAAATTAGGTGTACCCTATTTGTCCCCCACCCCTTTCTCCACCACATAAATAGGCAAAAAACTTAAAAATAAATAAATAATGAAAAATGAAATAAAAATGTGTGGTGGAGAAGGGGGTGGAGGACAAATGGAGTACACCTTTGGTGTACCCATAGCATTATTGCTCTTTTTTTTACTTAATTTCTCCACTCTGGAATCTAAGGATGGTTTCTGATAGGACTAAAATATAATAAAATTAAAACATAATGACTAAAACATAATTTCACTTTTGAGTAATTTACTTAAATAGGACTAAAACATAATGACTTTCCGAATGTAGAACTTTTGGTCATTATGAATTAGTCATTATTGAAGTAAATGTCCATCATTACTGGACATTATTCATAACACTAAGACATTAATAAGTCATATTTAGGGAATAAAAAAGTTTAAGTCATAGATTAGGAAAGTTATTATATTTTAATCTTATTTAGTACAAATTTCACTTTATGATTCTCCTGATAATCTCGGGGATGAAGCTCATCTTTTTGAATTCGTGGAACGAAAACCCCTGGCGCCTCCACACCCCAACCAGTTGAAGTAAGTCATGATATAATCTTAATTTAATATTTTGAAAAAATGTTTCGTGTCCGGTGGATACAAAGAGTAATTATAAAGAATAGAACTCTTGGGCTAATGTTGTTGGATTTGATCCTAAGATCAATAGCTTGACATCCTTTTCAGCTACTAGTGGGATTCAACTAGACTGTAGTTGTTGAAATGTGGCCATGCATGTACTTACACAAGTACCGGTGAAAAAAGGAAGGAAATGTACGTAAATACTCCGTACCCGTTTTCTGCTTCCCCGCCCATTGATTATTGGTTGTATTTTATTGTAGGGATAGAGAAAACTCCGTTTGTTTTCAACTTTTCACCAGTGTTGACCTCTTTTCTTTAATTAAAAAAATCAGCTTGATTTCTTCTTCAATACTTTTATATTGATTTCTCGAGTTCTCAAAAACTGAATATGTATAGATATAAGTAAATACTCAATCCGTTCTAAAAACAATTGCAACATTAGATCAAGCAATGTTAGAGTCACAACTAATTTAGACACAAATTATATAAGTTTATCATTTGTGAATTTAAATTTTAATTTTTTAATTATTTGAAATCATTTAATTTACCTAGAAAAATGCACAAATTGTAAGTTTGTATAATTTGTGTCTAAATTGTTTGTGGTTCTTCCATTACTCGCAACATTATGTTAAACGAAGCAAATCTTTCTCTCTTTCTTTTTAGCCATCCAAAAATTACTTTCCTGTTTCTTATTTTGGCAACATTATTTTAATGAATGTACTATTATACTCCTACCTTTTTATCTACATTATTTACTTTATTCCATCACATTAAAAATAAAATATGAAAAATCTTTATTAAAGTTTTTAGTTTTTTCTTAATCTCTGTCAAGTAAAACTGGAAACAAAATTTTTGTCATTAAGATGGTATTAAACAATGTTTTTCTTTTAATTTTCTCCACTTATTGTCATTAAAAATTATAATATCCCATCTTGTTTTTTAGAGTGTTTGATCTAATTTTTAATATATGATCAAGTTTTTATACCATTATTTTATAGCGTACATGATCAAGCCTTTTAATACAATATAAATTTATTTTAAAATTTTATACCATTTTTAAATAAATTGAATTTAGAATAGCAATCAAACTCTATTTATTTACGGAGTATTTTTTTTAGTGAGACTGATTTTAGAGGGAAGAGTATTATTTTTTGAAATAGTTGAAAAACTAGTTGTAGGACAAGTCGCATGTGGCAGAGTTTATTTCCATGCCGAGCCCATTTCAATATCGTATTTAATCCCACATGTGCTGTTTACCTCCATTTCGGCACCATTGATATAATTACGAGTGTGCCCCGAGTCATTTTTTAAATAACCTCCCCGCAAAAACAAATTCCTGCCCCCAGTCAAAAAAAATTCAAACTAAAAACTGATAATTATACTCCCTCCAACCTAAAAAATGATACACGGATATTTTATTTCCTTTCTAAAAAATCCCATAAAAGCTTGCTTGTTTAGAAAAAAATGATATTCCCTTCATCCCTAAATAGATTACAAATTGCACATTACGGAGTATGAAGAAAAATTGTTTACTTTCTAAAATTATTTTATTTACAAATTGGTATAGTAATAAGATATAAAATTTACATATTAAAAAACTACGTCAAAAGTTCTACAAAATTTTATTTTATCAAACAAAAGTTATCGAGAGGAGAAAAAAAGTTGTAATCTATTTAGGGACGGATGGAGTATTTTATTCCTTTTCTATCTTTTGCACCATTTTCAATCACACATTTTAACTTTTCTAAAATTTTATGTCAAGTCAACCAAAAACGATATAAGAAGTCACAAGTTCAATTTTCTCCGTAGGAATAACTCTCAAAATATCAATAGGTTGAAACAGTGGCGGAGCCAAAGAATACTTCATGGGGGGGGGGCAAAAATTCAATTAATAAATAAACCAAATTCATAACAGTAACTACCATATTTGGCTAAGTACAATTAAACATACCTTCTATTTGTGCAAAGGAGTAAGAAATGTTTGAAGCCGCAAAAAAAATTTTCGAGATGTCAACTTTTGAAAGTGCTGCATAATAACTTCATCATCAATGATCTTAAAAATTTCTTTCTCAAAGAAGCACATCAGACAATCTGATAAAAGCTCATCCCCTAAACAGTTGCGTAAATCAGTCTTGACAAATTCTTTTTCATTGTCTCTATTACTTACAAATTCTAAATTCTTCTTTTATCTAGTAACAAATTTATTCATCTCACGTCTCAAAATTTCTTGATTCAATAATAAAGTAACAAAATAAAATATATATCAATAACCTTAAAAGTTAAAACAACAATTTCATATATCTTAATCTCTAGAACTTGAAATTACATTAACATTTGTGAAATATTTAAATATCAACAAACACACTACAACCACGGAACAAAATAAATATTCAAAATTCAAAACCTAATTTAGCAATATTCAAAAACTCAAATATTAAGAAACAAATCTCGAAAAATATCGGTTCTTCTGCAGCCTTCACCCGGAATTTGGAGTAATTGTCTTCCGTCTTCTAGAGTTCAGCAATCGCCAATGGCCAATCAGCAGCATTCGTGTTTTTTTGTTCAATCCTCATCCTCCGTTTTTAAAATTTTTTGGGCATTTGGAGATTTGGGTTACTTGCAGTACTGGGCCGTGGATTGTTGGGCTATGTCAAATGGATTTTTTAAACCCATTCACCAAAACGACGGGTCTATATTTTTTTTCTTCCGCCGAGGGTACCATAACCCATCATCGCCGGAATTTCGCCGGGGGGCACTTGCGCCGGCATGCCCCTCCTCCTCCGCCCCTGGGTTGAAACAATATATATGAAGGTAAGATATTGTTACTCCATATTAAAAATGATATGCTTCGTCTCGTACGTCATTCAGTATTACGGAGTATTTTTTTTATTTGTGTACATATTTACTGATGTAATGTTTTGTTTTATTTATTTCAAAACTTGTTTGATACGGAGTATAAAATTTATTTTTTTATTATAATTTTAAATTGCCTTTTTTTTTAAAAAAAATGGAGGTGGTGCCTTCGAAGTTCGAACTCATGCGCCTAATTACTTGTGCCTCCCTTCATATACATGGTAACTAGATCCGTCGTTGCGAATGTCAACGAACTACGGAGTAATATTTTGTGTCAGTACGAAGCATTAAAATGTGTGTGCATGTCTTTAGTGTACAAATAAAATACAAATTTTTGGGCATTTGTTTTTAAATGGTCCATATTTTTGAAATGGTTGTATTTACATGAGCTTGTCCCGTTATGGTCCTAAATTAAATGAACCCATGATGTGCCCCAATACCATCAAATTGTTGACTGATGTGCTCCAAATCTGGTGTGACTTCATTGATTAATTTAAATTTTTATTTAGTACTGCCACAAATGTCATGAGTGACGAGAATGCCATAGTTGATTAAATAAAATAAGGAAAAAGTATGAGAAATTTATACAAACACGACCCACAGGATCAGTCCTATTAACTTAAACGTTTACTGTGCCAAAGTACACTGTTTATCTACGGTTAACAAAAAGGGAATACTCCGTCCCCAATTTAATTACAAATTGCGGGTTACGGAGTAAGATTTCTTACTTTTTGAAATTATTTTATTTACAAATTGGTATATCAATAAGATATAAAAATTACATATTAAAAAACTACGTCAAAAGTTCTACAAAACAAGAGGTGACAAGAATATTTAATTTTATCAAATACTTAATGAAATGGCGTAAACAAACAAAAGTTATCGAGAAGAGAGAAAAAGAAAATTGTAATCTATTTAGTGACGGAGGGAGTATAAAAGAAGAAAGGTGATGCATTTACATGGAATTCAAACCGTAACACTATGTTTAGTTCAAGGAATTTGAAAGGGAAAAGAAAAGAAAATGAAGTAGAAAACCATTTTTCTTATTTGGTTAGAGGGGAAAAGAAAGGAAAAGTGGAAGGAAAAGAAAATGAGGAGGCAAAATGTACCAAGTGGAGGGAAAATCAAATTTCTTCCATTTTGGTGAGGAATACGAGAGAAAACCATTTTCTTTTCTTTTGCTTCCAAAATTCTTGAGCCAAACATAGTGTAAAGGAAACTATATTCCATGATTCCCATATTGAAATTAGTTCGAAAGGTGTTGCATTTATATGGAGTCACATTGAGTTGACGGGACATTGGGACAACAATAGACTCGCGTTTCCACCCCTAACATCTCCAACAATAAGGCTCTAATAAGAAAGGAGCCGAAGAAGCTCAGGCTCCCATATGTTGGATATGGTCTTGTCTGATTTGATTTGAATGTAGTTATGTTTAAAGTTATTTTTGAATATATTTGACCTGAACTGATTTCAATAAGATTAAGTAATAAGAATAAATTGAATAAATATACTCAAAGTAGGGGTGGTGAAGCCAATTAGGGCCGGGCACTTCGTGCCAGAAAAGGAAAGAACACTCTATAAATGAAGAAGGGTTGAGTGGTAGAGATCATCTTGAACTAAGCATGAAAAAGCATATTAAAGAATAACAAGAGTCTTGAATACTCCGACGATTACTTCCTGCTTCTAAGTTATTTCGTTCTCGAGAGTTGGATGGAGACAATAAAGATGCTAGGGAGTGCTCATTTGAGCAGAAATATCGATCTTACTTTGAGTGTGTAGGAAATGGGAACTCTCATCCACACATTGGCATACAATAGCAAACTTAGCCATCAATATCTTATTAAATGGACTTTTTCTGGTGGTCTTTAGTTCCAAAATAAAGTTCTCATCACTCTAATTAAAATTGTCTTTCATGACAAAGAGCACTAACACTAAATTTAAATTGGTTTCATATGAGAACTACTTTTTCAATTAACCTGAATATTTTGTAAATTTTCAAATGTAAGATTAAGTTTAATGAAACTAAAATCAAATATTGTCATTAACGTTAAAAGAAAATATTAAAGCTGTCAAACGAACACCTTATCTATTTTGGCTCCAAACACACGCTCTTTGAAGTGCTCACGGGAAAAATGAAATAGATAACGGATACCCCATTTGCGATTGTTGTAATCCTAATTTAATCCGTCGTTAAGTGAAGACAGCTAATTTGTTTTAACCCAACTTTACAGCGAATTAGTCAGACGGTAAGAACGCTATTTCCGTGAATCCCAGTCCAAACAAACTCACACGCGAGAGGGCCGCCGTTCCGGGTTTTCGGCCGATTTCAAGTACACGTGGCTAACGTCGCCATTGATGAGACGTTACTTTCTGGCCGGAATCGGGAGCTAAACGGCGCGTCAAATATTCCGTTTGTTAAAGCCGGATCAGTGCCTTTCCCCGTTATTCTTAACGACGTTAGGACACGGACCACATGCCCAGCCAAACCCGTTCGTATAAAAGCGATCGGGGGACCCGTTTGGCGGAATGGCATTCAGCTGCCATCACCATTTTCATCACCATCTTCTCTCTCTCTCTCTCTTCTCTCTAGCGGGATGAATATCATTCGAGAACCTGGTGAAGTTCGATTTTTCTGATCGAGCCTTTTCGGTTGGTATATGATGGGAAGGAATGTGGAGAAGTCGAACGGGATCGGAGAAGTTGCGGGGAATGAGATGCCGGAGATAGGCGTGATGACGACGCCGAATACTCCAGAGGCGGCGACGGACGCCGACGCGGAACCGGTCGTGGTTAAAAAGAGGAAGATATCGGATGAAGATCTGGAGCCGTCTCTGGCGCCGGCACCGCCACAACCGGGAAACAGCGGTGGAGATCCGGCTATTCCCGAGGAATGTGCATCGCCGGAGATCAGACATCCAGTTTCGAGCCTCAACGTCGATGAAGAGGCTCAGGCGTCTGGTTGCTCAAGCTATGCGGAGTCCATCGCTAGAGGAAAGTCCGAAATCGCAGATCTGGAGGTTCGTCGTGTTTAATCCTTCCATTTATCCTTTTCTATCTGGTGTTTCGATTTACAACGACAAGCATTTTATTAAGTCTTGATCGAGTCGATTTATTTTGGCTTGCAGGAGGAGGAAGAGGAAAGTACTGGAGAGTTCGAGGCGGCGCCTTCATGGAATTCCGAGTGCTCAGAGAGGTACAATTTCCTCTTACTTTAATGCGGACTTCAATTTTCCATTTATTGACAGAGAATAAATGCATCACGTCCTTTCCAATTTAAAAACCAAAATTCGAGTGAACTTGATTCTGTTCATTGGCCGGCCCGCTTATTTAATTCTCCAATTAGATTCTCATCTCGATATATAAAGCGTATTCTGCAGTGGAAAAACGACGCCGTTAAGAGAACATGAAACGGAGTCCGACGAGCTGAGCTCGAATGGGACGCCGCCGCAGTGGCCGCCTGGTGATCAGTCGAATTCTCATGTCAATGCAATCCGGGCGAACATTCCGTCCGCTGCTGAACTCGAGGATTTCTTCTCCGTTGCCGAACAGAAAATTCAGAAAAGCTTTGAGGACAAGTACGACGGACAGTTTTCATTATCTATATACATACTCCAAAATTTATTTGTAAATTTATACACACGCATTGTATGTGCGTATTTGCAGGTATAACTTTGATGTTGTGAATGAAAAGCCGTTGGAAGGTCGTTACGAGTGGGTTCAATCAGTGCAGCCATATAACAAAGATGAAGAAGAAGAAGAAGAAGATTCATCGCCATCAACAGCAATTCCAAAGAAGGTGTGAGAACAAATATAATGAATGTCGTCGTCGTCTCAAGTCTCAATATATATAATGGTAGCAGCAGCAGCCATTTATTTTTAAACTTTTCTAAAGTTGGGTCTTTTTAGCGCTTTTTCCAGAATCATTCACCTTTTTAGGGTTCTTCTTTCGTGCATGATTGTGTGTGTGTACAGCTAGCTACCTAGCAGCTCTAGGATCGAGGTAGTTGAATTGATTGGACATGGACCCTTCCTTTATAAAATCTCCAAATTAAAAGTTCTGTGATATTATGCATGTTTTCAGATCACTATATATACTCCGAGTTTAACTTAATTAGATTTAACCCAACGCATCTATAGACTATAGTAGTTAATTTAAAGCTAATCTGCAAAGTCAAATCTTTAAAATAGCTTTAATTTATCATAATTTACGTCCATGCCATGCAATACACCACACATACATGCTAATTAAGTTGTTAAGCCACTTCAAGCTAAGAATGAATATTTTCAATTGATAAATGTGTGAGAGTACATCCGTATAAATACATGAGGCTTAGTACTCCTAATCATGGTAAGAGTGTATAATAAGAAACCTATACAAATGGTAACTACCAATGATACAATAAATATATTTAACATAAATAAAAAATACTTCGGCTATGTCGGATGCGGTGGAGGATGAATCCCAAGATTAGTGCGAAAATCCATGAAGAGTACTGATGGAAGTCCTTTGTTGAGTATATAGCATATTGGGAGGAAGATGGTACATGAAGAACTCTGATATGTCCAAGTGCTACTTTGTCTCGAACGAAGTGAATGTCTACTTCGACATGTTTAGTGTGCTAGTGCTGAACAAGATTGGTGGAGACATAGACTCCATTGATATTATCACAGAACACTAGGGTGGCTCGCTGCAGAGGGTGTTGAAGCTCAAGTAGAAGATTCCGTATCCAGCTCGTCTCGGCAACGGCGTTGGCAACCGCACGATACTCGGCCTCGGCACTCGACCGTGAAGTCGTGGCTTGCCGCTTGGATGACCATGAAACTAGGTTATCTCCAAGACACGGTAGCCAGAGGTAGATCATCGTGTGTCCGGACATCCGGCTCAATCGGCATCTGAGTAAGCCTGTAAGAAATCTGTACGAGAGTGTAGCAAATATTTTGGGACGGAGGGAGTATTAACCTACATATCACATCATACTTTTTCATTATTAATCTACCCATCATATCATACTTTTATACATCAAATCCAAAGACATTTTTGGAAAGTCCACCCTAAAATACACTATTCTTAAATCTTTTAAAATTCAAAACCAGAAACATTTTGTGGGACGAAGGAAATATTATTGAAGGGAAAATTACTTGTATAACATTCTCTCCCTACCATAGAACTTTAATAATGCGGATTATAATATTTGATTGAATTTAAATTAAGTTTTAATATAGTAAAACATTACAAGGTCGTAGTTGGGTGGGCGCGGTCTGTGACGGTCGTAGTTGGGTGGGCGCGGTAGTATCACGAACCGCTCTTATTAAAATAGTTCGGTAACGGTACAGGATGGACACCAAAACTATTTTTTATCATACCGTTCTGAAATGGAACAGTACTATACCATGCTCATGCTCAAACTGTGCCAAAAAATTAAACATGCATCATTCAAATAATATTAAAACAATGGTACAACTTTGTTAAAAAGGTAATGATTCTGAACTTTAAAGGATCATAAACATAAAGAATAAAAGATAAAAGTAGGATGTGATGAATAGATTTATTAAATAATAGAATAATTGTATTACTCACGGAAATAATAGAATACAAGATGGAGTATAAATAGGAGGGAATACAATCTCAACTAGGACTAGGAAAAAGCTAACTTAAATACAAAGTCTATCATAATTAATATTGACTATAATTAATTGTCTAACATTTCCATTAAGCTGAACTCGTGTTACAAGTGGAAGCTTAGAAACAAGAGCCTGGAACCGCGGATTAGATATTCATTGTGTGACGAACAAGCGTGATAGCAGATGTACTGAGCTTTTTAAGCTCTCGAACTCTAGAAGAAATAGAGACAAATGTAGCTTTGCGTGCAGCTCTTCGATCAAGTATAAAAAAAATTAAGAAAGAGAGGGAGAGATAGATAATGGATGGCGGCTGTTAGGCACGCTCGTCGAGACCCGTGGCGGCTGTTAGGCACGCACATAGTTTATTTTTAAGAGAAAGAGAGAAGGATAAGAGACGACGATGCCATGATTTTTGGTGGTAGATCATCGATGAAGAAGGGTGGTGGTGGCGCACGGTCGTAGAAGAAGGGAGACTAGGTTTTTGAGAAGAGATACCTTAGCTTTGATATCATATTGAATAATGGAACAATTGTACTCCCTCCATCCCACAAAAAAGTTCCCATTTTGAATAGTATTTAGTCAAATATTTACACGCTTTGACTACAAATTGTGAGAAAGGTATATTGAATTATAAAATAAATTTAATATAATTGGATTCATTTTAGGATCTAGTTTTGATATCTCAAATTTTTGTAGCATTTCTTTATTTAGATTATATTTAATTTATGGTCAAAGCATGTAACTGTTTGAACAATTTATGGTCAAAATGGGAATTTTTTTGTGGGACGGAGGGAGTATTACTCAAGAAAATAATAGAATATAAGGTAGAGTATATATAGATGGGAATATAATTAATTAGGACTAAGAAAAAGCTAACTAAACTACAAAGTCTACCATAATTAATATTGACTATAATTAATTGTCTAACAAGATTAATACTCCGTCCGTCCCACAAAATCTTTTTGCCTTTCTTTTTTTAACTGTCTCAATAAACCTTTCTAATTTTTATTAAAATGCCACATTTACCCGTACTAATTCTTAACCTACATATCACATCATATTTTTTCACTATTAATCTAGCGTCACGTCTACTTTTATCCATCACATTCAAAGACATTTTCAGAAAGTCAACACCAAACACACTTCCTTTAAAAGTCAAAACCAGAATGGCTTTGTGGGGCGGAGAGAGTAGTAAATAGATGTGATGTGATAGATAAGTTAACAATTAGTAGAGTAAAACTAACTTTTTTTATAGAAATACGAAAAAAAAATTGGGATGGATGAAAAAAAGATAAGAGAAAAATTTTGTGGGATAAATGTAGTAATCCCTCTGTCCACAAATAAACTTCCCGTTGGACGTTACGATTTTTGACTGAAGTGATTTTCAAATCATTTTATATGAAAAATGGTGTAAAATTTAAAAATAAAAATTGCATATTAAAAAACTACATAACAAAAGAGCTACAAAACTAAAGACGACATGGCTATATTATTTTATCAAATGAGTTACGAAAATAGGTGAACAAAATGAATAAAGTTTGATCCTGTGAATAGTGAACGAGAAATTTTGTGGACGGAGGGAGTATAAAAAAAAGGAGGGGAAGCGATGATGGGCAATCATATATTCGCGAGCAAAGCCTGTCACTTGATGTGTGTTACGGGAGGGGCGTGAAGGAGGACAGTCAAGCTCTTTCTCACGCCTCATAACACATGGTGTGTCATCTGGTTATGCACATACCACACGTCTGGCCTGTAGGAGTTAACTGTGGTGCAGAGCAAGAGCCCATCAATAAATAAAGGGAAAAAAACAGACATCATTTCTTACTCAAGCTAGCTAAGCAATCTTCTTTGGGTCTTGTGATGTGAACAAGTGGTGAAAACCCTAAAATTGTTAATTTTGGCAACAAATTCCAATGTTTCCCAGTTTGTAATGTTTCCAAATCATGCGGGCCATGTGTAATAATAGAGATCTAGCTGATTTTTTTATACTCCCACCACCACCTCGTGGTTAAGAAGAATGAGTTATACTCTCATCTGATAGAGTTATATGTTTTTATACTTCTTTTTCTTGTGAACACTATATCTGCTTAAACGATGAATTGAGTTTTACTATTAAGGGAAAAAGTTATCATCTTCATTAAGGTTAGTAATAATTTGTTTTGAATAATTCTTTTTTCTTGCATAATTTCAAAAAATATAATTTTTTATGTATATTTTTAAAATTATAAAGGTAAAAGTGGCGACATAACATAGGAACAATCGGAACATAGACCTGTTAGGCTCAATAGACCGGATCCATGCACCAAGCCGAGTGGGCAAGCCCGCGAGGTTAAGGGACAAAAACGATGAAAAGTACACATAGGTGGAGAAAATGTTAAAGCATGCAAAAAAAAGTCCAAAGAGGGAGGCCAAACAAGGAGTGTGGGCCCAATACAAGGAGTCACTCCTTGTGACTGGCCGGTCAACATGGCTAAGATACTCGACATGGTGACCTTTCACGAGATCATCTGATTGGTGACGGAAACACAAATCGCTCAAATATCAACTCTACATTGCCTTGATGGTAAAGAAATGGCAAGTGCACTAAGAATAGAGACATACCTATTTTTGACTAGGGGCATTTCTTTGCAAAACCTGGAAACTATGTTTTTTTTATGTATCTATACACAAAATTAATCGCCAAATACGATCAACGATCAAAGTGAAAGAAAAACTATATACATTATAGAGCATGTATTTATACAATCTCAAGAGATGGAGCTGATCTAGTGGACACTGATCCCCTGTTGGAGGCTCCAGCTGCCTTATGAAATGAATATGGAGTAATGGATCTTGATGAACTCTCCCCTTTCATAGTATGCAAAAACAGCGCTTTCACAATCTGTTTGAACTTTCGTTTATACGTCGGGAACTTGGATACACTTCTTACCATTCCCACCATTCTGCCATATATAACAATCCATTCCAATGTTTAGGCCTAGGTAATCATGTTCTTATATGTTAGTGCAAATGAAAGATTTTGTAGTGAACTAAGGGCAATACCTTCGACTGATGCCTTCGATTTGAGCAGCGCGAAGCAAGTCTTGAGGAGTGGACCCACCATTCTCCCAAGCGCGAAATCGGTCAGCATTGCCTCCCAAGAGCACAACTTTCTCAAGGAACCGCATCTCCCCTTCGGACAAAGACAAGACTTTGATCTGCTCTTTGAGGTCCATGACTGGTTGGAAGAACCACTCTAGCAACCGGTCTTGGGGTCTGTTGAGATAGGTGATCTCAAGATTGTCAAGAAGCAGCAGCCCTTCTGATCCAGCCTTGATGGAGGACAATATGATCTGCAAGAATGTGTAACATGGCAACCCAATGTTTATGATGTCACAAGCATTACTGTTTTCGTGTTTCTTGACCCTCTTCACCCAGTCTTCAAGATCAGCTGGCGTGATCACGTTTGAATCAAGTAATTCCTTCCCTCTTATCTCGCAAGTCTTTATCAGGTTTTGCCATACCTGTTTGCAAATCATACACGCACTTTTCTTGAACTCTGTGAAAGTCAAACCCAGAATACTTTTCTGGGACTGCGAAAAAAGAAAGAGGGATAAGAAACCTGAACCATCTTCACTTCTTGTATAACCTCCTTGACAGATCTTGATGATGTCAAGCTGGGCACTAGCATTGCAGGTGCTTCGCCGAATACTGCATTTAGTTTTCCTTGACTGAAACGGTTTCTTCTAACAGACAACTCTGTTGTGTCAGAACCCTTCTTTTTCCTATACCGTGGCCTGGCTTTAAGAAAAGATTAGTTAGCAATAAATATGACAAGAACAACAAACAAACCAAGTACAGATATGAAGAAGGGTATACACTCACTTTGGGAGGAAAGACCCCTCGCGAAGATAAAGCCAATCATTTGTGTACTCGTCGAATTCTGCCACCATTGCAATGACATATGCAACACCTCTCCGGACAGACCTTTCCTATAACAAATGAGACAAACTTAAATTCATAACAGAAAACATTTTGTGTTACATCTCAAAAATGAGACAGTTAGAATGTAAGAAAACATGAAAGTTACCTGATAAACAACAACGGCTCCGTGTAGGCCGATGAAGAAACTTGAAAAAACAGAGAGGATGATGCTCCCAAGAACAACAAGTGGCCACATTAGTATTGTCAGCCCAGCAATGGGTATGCAGGCTGTTTCCAAGAATGGGCCTTCCCGGCTTATCAGATCATGGATCAATCTGTACCATCCCTTTACCAGCATGTATGGGCTCTTCACCACCGCTATTGCCGTGTATAGAGGAATTTCCACAACTAGGCCCATCAGCCCGACCATTATACATCCCGGCACGTGTATAAATCTGCATCTCAATTGTATTAGAATAGATGCTCTAGTAGAGAGGATAAACATAATTTAATCCCTACTTTAATTTGTTTTTTTCATATATATGTCCTCGCTTACTTAATGTTCTCATTTTCTTTTTGAGATGAGTTTGAGAAAGATGAAATTGTGCGGTTTAGATTTATACATATAAGAAAAATGATATAAACCACACATGCCTTGTCCTTAAGGCTATGTTTGGTTCAAGGAATATGAAAGCCAAAAGAAAAGAAAATGAGATGGAAAACAATTTTTTTCTCTTCAATCCTAATTCTTTGAACCAAACATAGTGTAAAAGGAAATGAGAACATTATTTAAGGACAATCCAAAGTCTTTGTCAAGAGTTGGAACATTCAAACATAATAACTTATTGTTCTCTTTGCCAACATTGAGCCCACACGTATTGTCTTTGTCAAATTTAGAAACCAAAGACTTCCATTTTCAGATAGATATGGAACCTAACCACCCATTAATTAGTCAGCTCGCCAACTGAATCTACTTTTATTTCTAGAAGTTGAAACCATACACAATTTTTTTAATGGCAATTAGCCTATCAACAATATCATACTTTTAGCCAAACACAACTTAACTTATTTTTAACGTAACCACCATGCCAAACCAAACCAAACCATACCTGAAAGGTTGAAGGTCAAGAGAGGCTGGCGATTCACGCAGCTCTTTCATGTAGAGTGGATATGAATGGTAGCAAAAATCACCGAAATCTCGTACCACAGTACAGCTCCCTTTGATTGTCCCCCACGTACCATCCTAAGCAATCAAAATTTTCAGCATTTTTTCAAAACTCTGCGAAAACGTTCGCAATTAACGAGACAAACCGAGACGAAATTGACGAGTGGAACGTACCACAATGCAATGGAGGAACCTCTTGGACACGTCGTCGTGTCTGAAGGCCTCAAAAGCAGAGACCCAAGGGGTGAAGAAGCCATATCCAACCCCCACAAGAACACTTCCAGCTATGCTCAAACCCACCCATATGGTCAGCAAAACCGGCAGACCAACCAGGAAAGCAACCTTAAGTGGCGCGTCAAACCTCTTTGTCCTGAAAACAAAAAAAAAACAGCAAATTAAAAACAAGAAACATACAGTAAACATGTTAAAAACTCAAACTTTGTAACTGAAATTGGAAGAAAACACACTTGATAATGGCGTGAACGGTCCAGAAGGCGTGTGCAGGGAAGAGGAGTAGAATAACCCCAAGGTTTCCTATGATCAAAATGAGGCCAGCAATTGGACCGACCAACAAACCTGCAAAAAAGAAAATGACAAAGGGAAATTCAAGAAAATGAAAGAATTTAGAAACCCAGAGAGGAATTGAAACGAACAAGTATGAAGATCAATTAGGGGACGAATTAACTTTTGAGTGCGCCCAAAGAGAGGGCAGCGCAGAAGGCTAAAATAACATAAAGGGGCTTCACCCAATCTTCCAAGCCAGATGACATATCGTCTTTGATGGTTTCTGAGAGTTAAACTTAGAAGTCAGCAACTCTTATAGTCCACTCTAGGGGTGTACACGGGTGTAGAATCCCACAGGATTGGAACGAACACTATGTTTGGTTCAAAGAATTTGAAAGGAAAAAGAAAAGAAAACTAAGTGGAAAATAAATTTTCAAGTTTAGTTGGAAAGGAAAAGTGTAAGGAAAAGAAAATGAGAAGACAAATGTGTTAAGTGGAGAGAAAACAAAATCTCTCCCATTTTGATGAGAAAAATGAGAGAAAATCATTTTCTTTTCTTTTTCTTCCAAAATTCTTGAACCAAACATAATGGAAAAATCGAAAGTTTGGAATCACATATGTTATGTTTGGTTTAAGAAATTTGAGGGTAAAAGAAAAGAAAATGAGAAAGAAAACATTTTTCTTGTTTGATTAGAGTATAAAAAAACAAAAGTAAGAAACAAAATATACTCCATACTAAGAAGAGAGAAAACCAAATTTTTTACATTTTAGTAAAGAAACTGAGGAACAACTATTTTCTTTACTTTTCTTCAAAATTCCTTGAACCAAATATAGCGCTAAAGCATAAGACTGGAAAAACTACCTCTTAGATTCCGGTCTGGATCGATTTGGACTTATTTTTTCTAATCCGTCCAGGTAAAAACCAGAAAATCAAAATCTATTTTTTTTAAATATTTTTCTCAATTTATTTTAACTTATTTTTTGGGGAATGTAGCTTGATTTGAATTTATTTAATCCTAATCTTATATTTTATATTCATTGGACGTGTTTCAAGAAATTATGTTAATGTAACATATTTTTATCAACAATGTGATAAGTTTAAATTGAGTTTTATACTTATATTATACGGAGTAGTACTTTAAAGTATTTCATTTTTACCAAGAATGAATTACATGCCTGAGTATCTAAAACTCTAAATTGAAATATCATACTTCAATTTTTTAGAAACAATTTTAATTTTTTATGAAGATTCTTGGATAAATGTCAATGATTGCAATTACAGGATATAAAAGGTTATGAACATGATTTTAAAAAAATTCATTTACACTTAAAAGATTATACTTCATATTAAAGTAATAAGAAAAGATGAAAGTACAAAGTTATATTTACAATCACATACTCTGTATTCTACGAAGTATGTAATAAAAATAAAAACGAATTAGAATAACTACATTCCGGTCTTACTGGTCTAACTCGAAAACTATCCAGTCTTGTACCGGATTTTTACCGTCCTTACTCTTTAGACCGGAGACTGGTCAGAAATTTTCTGGTCCGATGCGAATTTTGTACGCCCCTAGTCCACCGTATCAAACAATAAACAGGGCAGGATTTGGACACAAATTCAAAAAAGTTAGAAGGAATTAGAAAGGATTGGAAAAAAGAGAAAAAGTTGGAGAATATTAGAAAAATTAAAGTGTTAAAAAATCTTTCAATTAAATAATTACACAAATAAACATGTAAGAGAACAAATTTAGAATAGAAAAGAATTTACCATTGTCCTCATTTCAAGTGGTATATTAAGTTATAAATTTGGATATATGACTTTATTATCGACAAGGTTCTGTTGATACTGCTGTTGATACTGTATTCAGTGTCAGCGGATCATACTCGCTCCTAAGAAGCTCTTCCAGTGCTCTGTTTGCAATATTGATAATTCCTACCCCTAACCATCTCCCAAACCCCCTACCGAATCCCTACCCGACCCCTATGTCCCAACCCTAGACCCCCCCTCTTACCCCTTCAAATGTGTGGCTCTTTTGGTTAATAATCTTTTAATTTGCTTACATATAGGGGATACTATGTTGGGATACATATTATTTCCTTCTTTTTTAAGTGTTCGTTTTGCTTTACGAGTCAAATATTTTACTTATTATCTATAAAAATATATTTCATACGATGAATTTACATATAAAAATTATATCAAATTACTGGTATTGAATTTTTTTTAATGTATTATTTTGATTAATTTTTGGTAAAATATATATTTTAAAAGATATTGTTGGTAAAATATTGACTCAAAATTTGAGAAAAAGAATACTCGTATAAAAACTCAACTCGTTTAAATTAAACTCGAATCTAGACAATGTCATAGTATTGGATTTGAATACACTTATATGCAAAACGTACCGGACCATTTGTCATGAGCAATGCTAGGTTCACAAACAAAATGATCACAAAGCTCACAAACTTACCAATTATGGTTTAAATTCTGATTTTAAAAATAGTTTAAACTACTTTACTTTTTTTATTGAAGTTCACAAATAGTAAGTTTGTGAGATTTGTGACCATTTTGTTTGTGAACCAAGCATTTCCCATTTGTCATTCCTAGCTTCTTGTTTGGGGAGGCAAAAAGTTTCGGACAATGCTAGGTTCACAAACAAAATGATGACAAACTTATCATTTAAAGTTTAAATTGTCATTTAAAAGTTATTTTAGACTAATTCATTTTTATTAAAATTTATAAATAATAAATTTGCGGAATTTTTGACTATTTTATTTGCAAATCAAACATTTTTGGAGAGAACCCTCCTAGAGGTTCACTTTGAATTCATTCCACTTCAGCACTCTCGAGCTTCTCTCGGTTTAAGGTTGGGTTGGGTAGAATGATGATGTACCAGAGTACCAGACCAGCAATCTCTATCCTAAATCCTAATCGTGGCCGTTAAAACAGACAACTTGTAAACTGCAGTCTCGCGCTGTTCGTCAAACACACCGCCACGACTTCTGCGTCTAAAGTTCTACACAGTGCCCACAAAAAAAAGACTTTATTTTTTTTTTTGCTTCTTCTTCGTAATTAATTTGGGATTAGACTTTTGCCGGTGAGAAATCAGAAGAAACCCAAGGCGGCTAGAATCTTCCGTCAGAATCTCGGCCTATAGAGAGCGAGATCGATGAAGATAAAGCTAGTGGTAAATCAAGAAAATCGCGCCGACCAAGATTTGCCCATGAAGGAAGACGACAAAGTCGACAATGATGCTTGCAATGAATGTCCTAAACCAGCAGAGGATGCCATTCAAGAGGGGGATTCCAGTCTTGCCAACTCTCCTCTCAGTTTTTATTTGCAATCTCTGGTTTTTACTCTTGAGCTCAAAATCTTGGTGTCTTTTGTTCTGGATGTGTAGATTTTGCTGTGATTTTTTTTATGGATCTTCTTTGCCTTTTGATAGGGTAAGAGGAAGAGAAAGCCCAAGGAGATGATCGATGAGATTTCGCCATTACTATCTCTGAAGAAGAAGAGGAGGAAGAAGAAACTGCAGCCTTCTGCTTCCCTCGTGAGATTTCTTCTTCCACTGTTTTCCCGCACGAAAAAATCGTGAAAAAATTGCATCTTTTTTTTTATTGCCTTAATTGACTCCAATTCTGAATTTGTTTTCGAATTTATGAATAGATTCTGTACCCACAGAACAGTCTTTTTCATGCTCATTTCAGCAATTTCAATAAGCCCTTATTCAGGATTTCAGGTTAGCAGTCCAAGTTAGGATCTTTAGGGCATGTTTGGATCCCTGAAAATGGTAGAGATATGAAAATCAAGTGCCATGTAAAGTTATTATTTTTGTTAGATTTTACCCCGGAAAATGCATTGAAGAATGAAATGTGATTACCTTTGTTTGTCATCTGCTTGTACAAATTATGAACAAACTATTTGTGTTCTTGAGCAGGCATTGAAAGAGGATACCTGCAAGACTCCGAGGTTAGTTCATCACTAACATGTGTAAATTATCTTCTACCATTTTCCAACATGTATTCATCCAAAAAGATTACCGCTTTCTGTTTTTTCAGTCAAGTTAAGTCGCCTACCCTGATTCGTGCGGAGGAGGTCCAATCGAACCTTGGCCAAGAATTCCCAACAGTCCTGAAATCATTAGTCAGATCACACGTTGGCAGTTGCTTTTGGATGGTAAATTGGTGAAAAGTTCACAGCTTTTTAATCTGGCTGCGAGTCTTGTGGGGGGGGGGGCATTTTCTCATTCTTGGGATTGCGGTTAATATTGTGCTCATCAGGGCCTTCCGGTGCCATTCTGCAAGAAATACTTACCAATGAAAGACACCACAGTTGTGCTGGAAGATGAAAGTGGAGAAGAATTTGAAGTCAAATACATTTCAGAAAAGACCGGACTTAGCGCAGGTTGGAGGAGATTTGCAGGGGATCATAAGTTGGTCGAAGGAGACGTTTTAATATTCCAACTAATTGCATCCGACAGATTTAAGGTTATATTGAAAAGTTCTCTGTGCATTAACACATGTTTAGCTCATCAACTGTTTCTCATTTTTTTATCCCAACTTCATTGTTATTCTTTAATGCAAATTATCGTCTTTTTAATACATAGTACATTCATAATCTGTAGGTGTATGTAATAAGGACTAACGATTTGACTGACGTGGATGGTGCTCTTAGCCTTCTAAATCTGGAGGTTCTTGCAAAGCAAAGTGATGCAGGTCAGTTCAATCCCTTAATGTTCATTGTGTTTCTTTTTTTCACTGCGTTCATTTCTATTGGTACGACACAGCTGAAGGGACCCCAACAACTCCTAAAGATAACTGCGAAAGGAAGAAACCCCAAAAATCACTCCCATTGGCAATGGCGCAGAAGGAGAAACAGGATAAGCCACAGATGGAGGAACAGTCCGGTAACGATAGTGATGAGGTTGCTTCTGAAGTTTTTGACTGTTCCAAATCCTCCTCTGCACTCGCCGTAATTTCTCTTGGAGACGTGAAAACTTTTGAGGATTTCACCATTGTGGTTAACAATGACGAATGCCTAGACTCAGAGATCCCTGTGCACGTACGTAGAAAATACTTTGAGCTATGCTGCACCAGAAATGCTGTCCTCCATGACAGTCTTCTCACTGGTCTCTATGCCAAGTTGGTTGCTGCCATGATCTGTGAGGTTGTTAACATTGCAGATTCCATCCGTGCTTGCATGGTCACAACAGGGAGGGGACAGTTTGAACTGTGGGACAAGTCATTGAACTCTTTTGAGCTTCTTGGGATGAATGTGGGGTTTCTACGGGCCCGGGTCGCGCGTTTGAGGACCCTTGCCTTTGAATCGGAGGGTGGGTCCGACGCGAGGCGGCATTGGGAAGCTAAGGAGAGACTGAGTCAGTGTGAGGATGAGGTGAGGAATCTTGAAGCGAAGATCGCCAAGTTGAGGGAAGCGTGTGAGGGGTATGGTAAGGATGTTGAGGCTCTGAGGTTGAAATCCGAGAGTTACGAGCTCGGGTTTCTTGAAGTAGCCAATGCTTCATGGTAAGATTTGGTTTTGCTTGGTGTGTGGTGTTCAAATTGGTCCATGGTAAGATTATGGGAAGAAGTCATTTGTTTTGTAGTTGATGTTAATGGGGGGTAGAAAAGAAGATCACCAACCTGTGTGTTGTTTGTTAACTTGGTTGTATTAGTATGAGATTTTATAAAATATGAGATGCATGACCTATATATAGTACTCCCTTGTCCCCCATAGATCTTCCCGATAGCCCTTTTTCTTTGTCCACAATAGATCTTCTCATTTCATTTTTTAACAAGTAAAATACCACAACTACCCCCACTTACTTTATTTATTACACCTCACCCACCTCATTTAATACACTCCACCCATTTTTCATTAAGGGTATTATGGTAAACCTTCACCTTTTTTCAACTCTCCTTAAAAACCACCAAAAGTCAAAATCAGAACATCTTAGGCGGACGGAGGGAGTATTAGGAGTTGAAAATTGTCACAAAATCATATGTTAATTAATTAACATTTGATTGTTTATACATTACAATTATGCACTGACACTTTGATAGTTCACACCGACACAAAAATGAGATGATATAAGTCAACCTTTTTTACAAAAATTATGGAGCATATTAAGGATCTAGAAAAGTACAAACCAGGCAGCAGTATAGATGCATGTTCAACCAAATAAAGAAAAGGATCCAACTTTTGACGTATTCATTTCCCACCCACCCAAATGAAATCTAATTCAACCACCACCTATCTCCTACAACCTTAAAAACATTCTGGTCCTAGCACAAAGTGGAAAAGTAAAACAGAGAACAAAAGCTAAAGCAAAACTCGTATAGTTGTTCTTGTGGCTCTCCCAACAGTAACGCCATAGGGATCAATCCTCCAAAAGTGATCCAATAACTATTTGGACAATTATGTTATGGAAATATGTTCGAGTAAGGAAATCTATCGTTCTGATATATTTTGCGCAAAAAATTAATAAATGTACGGAGTATTAATAAGTAAACGCAAAACATTGTACCAATATCTTGCGAGACATGCTTCACATTTTGAAGAAATTACCCACAATGCAACTTAGAAAAACCAATTTACCCAATAATGACTTGCAATGCTAGAATCTCAAATAAAATTGGTCACAAATTTTGTGTCGGTGTATTTTTGTTTGTTTGTTTGTTTACAAAGATCGTATTCATAAGACTTAAGACTGGTACATAAAAACATCAATTTGATGAAGATTGCCGCACCGAATAGGCAACCACCTGTGCCCATTGCTTCAGCCTCGTCTTCATTGTCTGTTGATTTTCCCCTAATTTAAACACATTTCATTAATTTAACTTTAATTGTACCTCTCAAAATTACAAATAAAAAATAATAGAGACTAAAATTTGTAGCAGATGGTGGAAGTGATTCATTACCGGCGGCGAATATGGTGGGGGGACTGCCGGACGAGGAAGGCGACCCGGACGGGGAATCGCAATCGGAGACACTAGACGATGAAGACGGCGCCGTCTTTGAAACGGTGTCGTTGTAATGCTTATTGACGGCGTAAAAGAGTCCGTACGCCGGGAAAGCGTCGGACAACCTTTTGTCCATCGTCGGGGAGTCGAAACCGAACCCGAGTTCCATACAAGCCTTGAATTCATCGAGGTCTTCGTCGGTGACGCTCCGGCCGCGTTCCCTCCGGCGGATCCCCTGATTCCCCTTCCTTCTCTGCCAAACCTCGTCGCGGAACGTGTCCGGGGACCACGTATTTTGTTTGTACAGGGACGACGGCGGCGTCGCCGGAGAGGGCTGGGGGTGAACGGGGGTTCCCGATTCCCGTGGATCTGACATGGCGGTTACCCTGCCTGCCCCCTTTTACGACGGAGGCGGGGTGGAGGCGCCCGGCAGGGAACGGCGGTTTTCTGAATTTTAAAAAACCAAAGAGGAAGGAAATGGGAATATTTGAATGGGGCTATATTTACTGGCAGATCTCAAAGGTGTGGGGCCATCCTACAACGCCGTGTCCAATGGGTCCGGAGTGCGGGTCCGAAACGGCAATGGTTGGTTCCCTAATGATGAGCTGTAACGTGCCCCATGTCTCCATTTGTACTTTTTTTTTGTAAAAGCGGGTCCGATGTTACTACCTGTAGAGTACTAGAGTTGTAGGTTTGGGCATAATGTAAAACTTTTTTAAAAAAAAATTAAGAAAATCAAATTGAGAAAAATACAAATAAAAAAAATACTGCTAAAATATCAAATCGTATCGAATCCAATGTACGGTTCGGTATTTGGAAACAATATGAGGTAACTTCTCAAATCAAAATTCCTGAACCGAATATATGGACTAAAATATTACGAAGTATAAATTTAATAACCCTTTTATATTGTTTCATTAAAAAAATTAGTTTATAGTTTCTTTCTTCCCTATCCAATACAATATTCGTATCACTAAATACCGTGTCATATCGTATCATATTTAGATTTTTGGTTTGAGAAGTTACCTCATATTCGTATTTGGATTTGTATTCGAAAATTTTAAACAAATACAAATTTAAATGTTACGATATTCGTTTTGATTTGGTTCGTTTTCAACCCTACCAGGTGGTAGCGCTCGACCGTCACCTCGCACTCATAGGTACAGAGCCAATTTCAGATTTCTAGATTCACAATCACCATCATATATAATCTTTATGGATATCCTAGCTCAATGACAACTACAATTCAAATAAGAAAACACACCTGGTATCCTCTTCTTCAATCCAATTTCAATAAAATCATATTTTTCTTTATAAATTTATAATTAAACAATATTTTTCTTTATAAATTTATAATTAAACTATATAATCAAATTATTGACATAAACGAATTTACGATTGGCTATGTATACGAGTTAGCGCTATATATGAATTCTATGCTAGAACAATCCCACGAACTCACCTCGATAGATTTGATGAATTAAAAAGGAATCAACCAACCAAACAATCGAAAAAGACGACAACTAGGACTGCATCACAACGGTGGCGACAGCGAAGCAACGACAATTCAACGGCGTCGTTCCTATGGCTGGCTCCTTGCTCCGCTGCATTGTTCTTCGCTAGAAACGAGCTAGAAAAAAAACCGAACCGAAACCGAATGTAATAAACCAAACCGAACCGTTAGTATTTGGTTCCATTTTAGTTTTTATTTTTATTAAAATAACTAATATACCCCATGTGTACACTATCTTTTTACAGGCACACAAAAACACTCATGATATGTGTTTCACACAAACAATAAATTTCTGTGTGTGTTTATGAGAAGGTGATATACTAGATTAAGGGTACATCACCTTGGGATAACTCTAGGTTTTTTCCAACTAATATTATGAGAAGTATTACGAATGTAATCTCATGAAGTCAAACTATAAAACTCAGTAGATAATAGCGACAGTTACATGCCCAATCATTCCACACATGGGCTATGGCTCGAGTCATTAATGGACAGCAATGGGCTTACAAATTACAATACAAAAATTAAAGTTTCTCTAACAAAATAAGCCAGTTATGGGATAATATTAAAAGGGCCCCTCGTTCTACCAACTGACCCAATGTGTACAGCAAGGGATAAACAAGTACCGAACCGATCCCGACACTTTTCGAAAAAATCAAAATTATCAAATTAAAAAATACCGAATTGATAAAATACTAAAAAAGAACCGTACAGTATCGAACCAAATGGTCGGTCCGTTACTAATTAAACATAGCTAGCCGCATACTACTTGCATTTTTGTTAAGTGATGTATTAGGGAATATTATACTCCGTCTAAAATTTGATTAGACATGGAAATTTTATTAAGTTAAGTGTGATCTTATAAATAATTTGGCCTTCGTCTAAAATAATTATTTTCATTTTAGCGGATGGAGTTTGATTAAAGTTATTTTCATTTTAAAGTTATGTTTTGGTTTGGTTAATTGTACTGAAAGAAATGATTTCGGATTATGAAGATTGAAGGATTGAATATTGACGTTATTTCAATAAATTTTTTGAGAAGCTAAGCAACTATACTAATCATTAAAACCTTTCAACTAATAGGTACATGTTTCATTATTTATCACAAATCTGCGATTAAGTAATTGTCCAGTCGAATCTGAGGGAGTCCTTGTGAGGGGCTCATCTTTTATTTCATTAAAAATTTCTTCTCATTTCGGTCAATGAGGATTGATTGATTCGCCACTCCCAAAAGAGTTTTATTCTAATGGGTTTGGCAAAATTAAATACTAATTATATTATACATTAGTTAGATAATTTAATAGTGTAAAAATATTTTACAAAATAAATCTAATAATATCATTGTTCTATGAATATCTAACACTCCGTATAATTTTTTTTTATTTAAAGGTCAAAGTTTAACAATGTGACTGCAAAAAATTAAAAATAGACAAATACTATGTGACGAAATTAACAAAATTAGCAGTGAAGATACGAAAATAAAGTGAATTGAAAAATTCAAAAAAATTGAATAATTTATTAATGTACATATACTATATCGACTGGGTTATAGAGCCACTCAAAAAGAGTGGCTACGGAAGCCACTCATCCAATTGGAACACATACGGTCCGGTGCTCCGTTCACAAAATTGATAGTTCCTACCCCCTCTAACCTCCCCTCTCCCGTAAACCCCCACTCTGTTGGAGTTCCCACATTGAAAAATAAAGATGAGTATCACTTGCATATATTGAAGGGTGAAGCCCTACCTATCAGCTTAAGCTTTTGGGTTAGAATTGTGGATCCCAACTTTATATGCAAGTGGTTAATTTTACCCGACACTCTATCCGTTGTTCTCGGCCCGCCGGAATTTTAACATGGTATCAGAGCAGGTCCGGTCTGGGTTTGATTGTTCCTGGTTGTTTGGATGTGGGTTTAGCAAAAATGAGTTACCCGTCTGTGGTTTGGGTTGAGTTGGCTAAAAAGAGATTGAGATGCCATCGCCAGTTGTGTGGGCTAGCTATAAGAGATTGAGATGCTAAACCCGTTTGTCCAAGTGCTAACTATGCCAGGCTAGTTACCACTTGTGGGAGTGTTGGAGTTCCCACATTGAAAAATAAAGATGAGTATCACTTGTATATATTGAAGGGTGAAGCCCTACCTATCAGCTTAAGCTTTTGGGTTAGAATTGTGGATCCCGACTTTATATGCAAGTGGTTAATTTTACCCGACACTCTATCCGTTGTTCTCGGCCCGCCGGAATTTTAACACACTCGGTCCCGATTCCAACTCATCCCCCTAACCACGTCAATTGCGGGGTGCAAGTTTAGCTGACTTTGGAGTCAAAAGTTTAGACTCTAAAGTCAACTAAACTTGCGGCCCGCAACTAGTCACACTGTCATATTACACAGTCATTACTTTTTTATCATACTGCTAATTAAGCATACCCTTACGTTACAATGTCATTATGCTCCTACTTTAGTCTTAAAAGGCTTAAAGCTCCTCTTTAGGTACTTTAATATTTTTTTTTACCATACTCTTGTTCGGGGATATTTCTTTATTAGATATTGATACAAAAATAATTTTATTAGATTTGTTTTATAAATTATTTTAAATGTATATTTTTCCTAATTAATATACCACATAATTTTTATATAATTTGAAGTCAGATGTTAAAAATGATTGATTACAAAAATTCAAAATTGCACACACTTTGAAAGAGGTGAGTAGTATTTTTTGTTGAAGAAGGGAGAGTTTGATGAAAAACAAGTGTGTGTGAGAATGTACATGCATGCAGAATTCATACATATAAGCAACGACATTACTTAAACAACGTGGTACAATCGTAGAGACGTAGCCTCATTTTAAGACCATAGTTATGTTCCAAGGTTGCCCCCCGGCCCCTACTTGTGTGAGCTGAGGACAATTATTCTCTTTTGCACATTTATGCTTTGGCTACTTATTTAATTCCATTTCTTGTAATAGAACTTCTCTATTTATTTGTGTATAATTCTCGTTCCTTTTTTCACATCCTCAAAACTCAAACGAGTTAATGTAGTGTCCCATTTCCCATACACAACTTGATTTGTTTAACAATAGCCGACGTTGACCGGAGGATGATGGGTCAACCCCCCGCTCACGTAGCCGGCCTCCGTCGTCTCTCTGCCAGAGCCGCCACTTCATCCCGGAACAGCCTTCCCTCACTTTCTTCTCTCGCCGGAGATGTCATTGCACAACTCAAGAGCTCCGGCGTACGTGTGGAGCCCGGTCTGTCGGCCCCCGAGTTCGCCCGGGCAGAAACCGAGTTCGGGTTCCGATTTCCTCCCGACCTCAGAGCAATCCTCTCCGCCGGCTTACCGCGCGCCTACGGCTTCCCGGACTGGCGCTCGTCCGGCACCGCGCGCCTCCTCCTCCGCGCGTCCCTCGAACTTCCACTCGCCGCCGTAGAGAGGGCATCCCCGCGGTCCAAGTCGTGGGGCCCGCGACCTTCTAACCCGAAAAAGGCGGCCCCGGTTCTCGTACCCGTTTTCCACGGGTGTTACATCCCGTGCGATCCTTGTTTGGCGGGAAACCCGCTCTTCTACGTGGACGAGAACGGGATTTTCTGTTGCGGGTCTGATCTCTTAGACTTCTTCAGTCGCAAGCCATCTGACCCGCACAGACAATTTTCGATTCTCAACACATCGCGGCTTCCTGGAAGTGTCGGAGATGGTGAACGTGTCGCCTTCGGGGTTCGTGGTCGGAGAAAGGGCGGAGTTATATTATGACCGGCGGGCGGTTATGGACGCGCTTCTGGCGAAAGCGCTTCGGTTATCGGATTTCCTTCGGAGTGGGGGATGGAGCAGCAAGGAAGTGTCAAGCGCATTCGGGTTTGATGTTCGGGCGCACAAGTGCTCGACCAACAAACTGAGTGATCGAGTAGCTAAGTATGTATAGTCCTTCCATATATATGGATCCTAGCTCTTTTTTTTCGCATTGGGATTAATGAGTTGAAAGCAAGAAAATTAAGTTCATAATGATGTGTCATATCATTCTCCATCTACTTTCAAACGGCAGTCGATGTTTTTGGTGTTTAGAATAATGATGATGACCATGACGATGACGATGACGATGATGATGATGATGATGATCATAATAATAATAATAATAATAATAATAATAATAATAATAATAATAATAATAATAATAATAATAATAATAATAATAATAATAATAATAATAATAATAATAATAATAATAATAATGAGTGAAAAAACAACAACAACAACAATAAGTGTGTTGCTAAATCCATCTAAAAATAGTTATATTCACCCTTTTTGCACATACGGAGTATTTGTTAAATCCACATCCATACTAAACTTGTACTACTTCAGTCCCAATGTCTCATACTATTTGTCCAGTTTTGACTTTTTGTTAGTTAATCCTTTTTAACATTTGATCTATAATTAAATAAAATATACATTGTATATATTAATAAGATAAAGCAATATTTTGAAAACATATTACTACCTCCGTTTCTCAAAAGAGTTCCTCTTTTGACTTTGGGAAAAAATAAGGAAGTGTTAAATTGTAGTTGATTTTCCAATTTTGCCCTTGATATGATGGGTAAAAGTAAGATGTGATAGTTTAGTTGTTAGTGAAAAAGTATGATGTGATAGGTAGGGTATAAAAAAGTAGGGGTAAAAGTGATTTTTTAATAGAAAGGGGAAGTGCTTTAAGAAAAACAAAAAAGATGAAAGAGGAAGGATTTTAAGAAACGGGGGGAGTATAAAATAAGTCTAATAAAACTATTTTTGTATCAATATCTAATGTCATTTTTACTTACTTTGATGTCAAAGTTTACCAATTTTGACTGAAAAAATCAAAAGGGGACAAATGCTCGAAGACGGTCAGAGTATTAATGAGTGTGGAATTAGAAAATATAGACAAACGGGGTGAATATAGCAATTTTGGGGGTGGATATAGCAATACCGTCATTGTTGTTGTTGTTATTGTTGTTGTTGTTGTTGTTGTTGTTGTTGTTATTATTATTATTATTTTTATTTTTTTTATTTTTTGTATATTTATTATTATTAATATTACTATTACTATTACTACTACTACTACTATCAATTATTAACATTTTTACCGAGCTAATTTAATTACAAGAAGAATAAATAATAAATAGCAAAAATAAGTTAAAGAGAAAATAACCTAACAACTTCCTGCCTTCGCCTCTCTTGGACCATGACTATCTCTGATTGACGGATTCTTGACACCAAAAATAAGCCCCATTATCATCTCGTGCAAGAAAGCCCAAGCCCATATTGTAATTCTTTTTGGCATAGCCGTTTTTAATACAATGCTCCATTAAATTTTCATCGGTTTGGGCGTGTCACCCCTTGGGTTAACTCATTAACTAATCCAGTATCAGTGAAAAAGACAAAAAATTGCTCCCGGATACCCTCTATTTCTTGATAAGAATTGTCAGGTCCTTTTATTTTCCTAAATATACTCCAGGGTACCTTAAATTATCTAAAAGATTACTGAGGGGTGACAATCCATTCATGTCTCCGTTAGTTTCTCTCACCGTTACCTTTTTCTTCTTCTTCTTTCATGTTTTTTCTTTCTTTCTCTCTCTCTCTTTTTCTCTTCCGATTAGCCCCCCCCACCCAAATCCCTCCCCCCTTTTTTTCTTCGGGGCTGTTTGTTTCAGTCTCTTAATGGTTCAGATGTCTGAATGGTTCAGCACTTAATGGTTCAGACTGTTTGTTTCAGCCTCTTAATGATTCAGATGTCTGAATGGTTAAGAGATTTGCCTCTGAATGGTTAAGTATTATACAGAGTCTGAATGGTTAAGACCTCTTATCTGAATTGATCAGACATTTGCCTCTGAATAGCTAAGCAATATACTAGCTCTTAATGGTTCAGACCTCTTACTGGTTCAGCACTTAATGGTTCAGACCTCTTACTGGTTCAGCACTTACCCATTCAGAAGTTGCTAAACAGCCCCTTCCTCTATTATTTCTTTTCTATTATTATTATTATTATTATTATTATTATTATTATTATTATTATTATTATTATTATTATTATTATTATTATTATTATTATTAATTTTTATTTGGAAAAATAGCACTTTTTATAAAAAAAAACACTTATTATTAATACTATTATTTATTAAAAACAATTAATTACTAATTTACTACTACACTCTTTTATAAAAATAACATTACTTATTAGTATTACTTTGTATTAATTATTATTTATTTCTTATTGTTTTATTTTTCTTCTATTTTTTAATCTATTATTATTATTAAAAGTTAATTACTACCTCCATTCCAGAGTATTTGTCCACTTTTATTTTTACACACCATCCAATGCACTTTTTTAATCTATTTTATCTTGTACTTTGTATATTAAAAAATTAGTAAAAATTATCCAAAATAATCCCAACTTTACCTGGTCTTTCAAAAATAATCTCATCTTTCACTGTGATGCATAATAATTCCAACTTTACTAAAATTTGTCGGTTTTGGGTCGCCGTTAAGTTTTTAACAGAAGGTTAACGGAAATGCCCGTTTTAGGCAACAAAATGAAAGTTGGGATTATTTTTGGTGAATTTTTTTTTATTTTTTTTAAATTTTTCATTTAAATTTTTTGAATTGCTTTCTACCTCCATTTATTTTTATTTTTTAAAGATTATACTTACCTTAGAAAAAAAATAGATATAAAAAATAATGAAAATGAGAAAAATAACTAAAACCATACAAAATTAATCAAATAAATAATGTAATCAATAGAAATTAAACAGAAACTAGTAAGAAAATAAAATAAATATATACGGAGTGGTGGGTTTTAACATTTTACACATCATACGGAGTCTTAATGTACTACTTATTTTTTAAAAGAACAAGCCGTCCGGTAAAGTTGGAATTATTGTAGATAATTTTTTTTTAAAAAAAATAAGAAGTGATATGTTAATACTTTGTATAATGCGTAAAATATTAAAACCCGCCCGTAAAATACTTTTGGAACTGTTCATCTAAGTACTTTGAGTAATCAAATTCTCTCAATGTGTAAGCCTAAATATAGTCATGTGTGATCTTGTTTGATTTGTCTTAACATACAGGTTATTAATATATAATTTCTATAATTTTTTAATATACAAATTAAAAAATAAAATGGATAAAGAAGTGCATTGGATGATGTGTAAAAATAAAAGTGGACAAATACTCTAGGACGGAGGTAGTAATTAACTTTTAATAATAATAATAGATTAAAAAATAGAAGAAAAATAAAACTATAAGAAATAAATAATAATTAATACAAAGTAATACTAATAAGTAATGTTATTTTTATAAAAGAGTGAAGTAGTAAAATTACTAATTACTCCCTCTGTCCCCTGTATTTGTCCACATTTGATTTTTGGAACTGTTCATCTAAGCACTTTGACTCATCAAATTCTCTTAATGTGTAAGCCTAAATATAGTCATGTGTGATCTTGTTTGATTTGTCTTAACATATAGTAGATTATTAATATATAATTTTTATAATTTTTTAATATACAAATTACAAGATAAAATGGATTAAAGAAGTGCATTGGATGGTGCGCAAAAAAGAAAGTAGACAAATACAGGGGGACGGATGGAGTAATTGTTTTTAATAAATAATAGTATTAATAATAAGTTTTTTTTATAAAAGTGCTATTTTTCCAAATAAAAATTAATAGTAATAATAATAATAATAATAATAATAATAATAATAATAATAATAATAATAATAATAATAATAATAATAATAATAATAATAATAATAATAATAATAATAATAATAATAATAATAATAATAATAATAATAATAATAATAATAATAATAATAGAAGAAGAAGAAGAAGAAAATAAATAATAGAGGAAGAAAAAAAGGGGGAGGGCTTTGGGTGGGGGGGGGGGGGGG